TAAATGTCCCAAGTCCAGCCGCGTGTGGTGGCTCACGCCTGTAATCCCAATACTTTGGGAGGCTGAAGTGGGTGGATCACCTGAGGTCGGGAGTTCGAGACCAGCCTGACCAACATGGAGAAATCCTGTCTCTACTAAAAATACAAAATTAGCTGGGCATGGTGACGCATGCCTATAATCCCCACTACTCGGGCTGAGGCATGAGAATTGCTTGAACCTAGGAGGTGGAGGTTGTGGTGAGCCGAGATCGCACCATTGCCCTCCAGACTGGGCAACAAGAGCAAAAGTCTGTCTCAAAAAAAAAGAAATGTCCCAAGTCCTCATGGTTAGCAAGTGGCAAAGTCTGGATTCGCACCCAGGTCTGTCTGACCTGAGGCTTGTTCTCAGCACTGTGGCTGTGCTAAAACTCAGAATCAGCACATTGCTGCCCCAGTGCACACCATGAGAAAGTGTGGGTGCCCCCACATGACTAACTCCTAAAGTTCATGCGCTCTCCATTACGTCATTGGGGCAGACGTTGCGGCTGGCAGGAGGAGTGGCTCACGGGAGCAGCCTCTTGCAGTCAGCTGAGAACGTGGAGGGGATAAATGAATGAGGAGACTGCAAAAACTCCAGACTTGAAGAGAAAAAGAAAGTTGCCAGTGACCAGAGAAATACCAGAAAAAAATCAGCTGAGCCCAGGATTTCTACTGTGCCCAGGAGAGCGGCCAGCTCAGAAATGAGGGATGGGGGTGCCCCTAGGCAAACAGTATTCTGGGAAGGAGGTCTGGAGAAGCAGCCAGAGACAGCAGCCAAAGGAGCAACCATGCAGGGGGACAGAGGGCTGAGGCTGCAGAGCTGCACATTCAGGGCCCTTGGGGTGGGCAGCATTGAGTTGATTCCCTCAGTATTGAGTTGATTCCCCAGCCTCAGGGCTGGGACTGGAGAGAGAGGTCCCAGGCTCTGACTTGGCTGACCGTCCCACAAAGGGGACAGCTGACGAGGGCCACAGGACTATTTTGCCAATGCTGCCACCTTGTGACCGTAGAATGCCCAATCCACTGGAAAAAAAGGTACACATAGGTCAGTTTGTGGATTCATTCTTCATTTATTGAAAGTGCCTAATGTGAGTGACATGGGTCCAACCTTCAAGGACCTCAGCCCCTTATAACCAGGCAGTGACCAAACACTCCTCTTTTCACCTCCCTCTTTTCATAACTCGTGTCCCCACCCCCAACTCCAAACAGGACTGTGAGGACAAGGATGGTATCTTACTCATCTCTAAAGCTACGGTACACAGCACAGGGCCTGGCACAAGAGACTAATAATAGCAGCCGCTAGTTAATGTGTGCTAAGTGCTTTTAAGTACATTAGCACATTGGATTCTTGAAATGCACCTATGAGACCTCCAAATGGAGATGTCAAGGCAGGGTTTATTTCAACATGAGCCTGGAATTCTCGGAGAGGTCAGGGATGGAGAAATAAAGGTGGGTGTCACCAGCACAAACACAGATGGCGTTTTTTTAAAGGCCAGTACCTCTCAAAGTTTTACGTGCATATGGCTCACTAGGGAACTATGCTAAAATGCAGACTCCAATGATTCTGTAGCCTGAAATGGGGTAGAGATTCTGTTTCTACTAGACTCCTGGGTGGGGCCAATACTGCTGGTTCACAAACCACATTGTGAGTGGTAAAAATCTGGAACAGAGGTAAACAAACTATGGCTAGCTGGTCAAGTCTGGTCCAGGGCCTCTGGTTTGTACAACCAGCAAACTAAGAGTGATATTTTCATTTTCACAGGGGTTGACAAAAAGAAGGAAAAGGAGAAGGCAGAAAAGACAGAAAAGGAGGGTAGGGGAAGATGGCAAGAAAAGAAGAAAAGGAGACAGAGACCATTTGTGCTTCACAAGGCCTGAAATATTTACTCTTTGGTTTTTGACAGAAAAAGTTTGCCAGCCCTGACCTTGGATATCACCCAGGGACACAGTGTGTAGCTAAACAAGGGAGCGACTGGGCCCCGAAGCAAACCGCTGTAACTTCCAAATCCCCATCCCTAGTTTTGGTAGGAAAAGCAAGAGTGCAAGGCACCACATGTACAGTTGGCCTTCCATATTGTGGGTTCCATAACTGTGGATTCAACCAACTGCAGATCAAAACTATTTTTAAAAAGAAGGACATTGTGTCTATACTGAACAGAGAGAGACTTTTCTTGTCATTATGACCTAAAAAACATGGTATAACGACTGTTTACATAGCATTACATTGTAGCAGGTAGTAAAAATAACCTAGAGATGATTTAAAGTATATGGATGTGCTTAGGGTACATGCAAACACTGCACATTTTATATCGGGGACTTGGGCATCCATAGATTTTAGTATCTGAGGAGGCTCCTAGAACCAATCCCCAGTGGATACTGAGGGATGAATTATATGCCAAGAGGGCAGGAAGGCCAGACACAGTGGCTCACGCCTATAATCCCAGCTCTTTGGGAGACAGAGGCGGGTGGATCACCTGAGGTCAGGAGTTTGAGACCAGCCTTGCCAACATGGTGAAACCCTGTCTCTACTAAAAATACAAAAATGAGCTGGGCATGGCCAAGTGTGATGGCTCACACCTGTAATCCCAGCACTTTGGAAGGCCTAGGTGGGCAGATCACCTGAGGTCAGGAGTTCAAGACCAGCCTGATCAACATGGAGAAACCCCATCTCTACCAAAAATAAAAAATTAGCCAGGCATGGTGGTGGGTGCCTACAGTCCCAGCTACTCAGGGGGCTGAGGCAGGAGAATCACTTGAACCTGAGAGACAGGTTGTGGTGAGCTGAGAACGCACCATTGCACTCCAGCCTGGGCAACAAGAGCGAAACTCTGTCTTAAAAAAAAAAAATAGCTAGGCATGGTGGCAGGCACCTGTAATCCCAGCTACTTGGGAGGCTGAGGCAGGAGAATCACTTGAACCCATGAGGCGGAGGTTGTGGTGAGTCGAGAACATGCCATTGCACTTCAGCCTAGGCAACAAGAGTGAAACTCTGTCTCAATAAAAAGAGTAAGTCAGAAAAAGATGAACATCTGAAGCTCCCAGGTGGGTGGGGGTGGCCCTGGGGAAAGGGTTGTGAAAACAGCTGGGGTTCAGAGTGGGAACGAGGACTTGTGGTGAGCCAATAACCCCCACTGCCTCTTTCAGAGCCTATCTTGGAACAAAACAACAGAAACAGGAAGAGCTGGCAGAGAGCACCTCCACTTGTGTGCAGTGCCACAGAAGTACAGGGAAAATAAAAAAGACAGCCTGTGAATTTCACAGGGTTGATCTGCAGGCAGTACCTTCTGAATTTTGGCCAAGAGTTGGGAGGGTGGGTAGAGGGATTTCGGAAGGAGAGGGAAAGGGTGTGGCAGTAAAACAATAGCCCCAGAGCCTGTAATGCGGGGGCCAAGTTGTGTTTGGCCACAGTGCCTTCTGTCATGGTTCTGTCACCCTGTGCTGAGGAATACATTTGCTTAAATGTCAATGCCTGAGAAAGTAAATACAGCTGTCCATTTCCATCAACTTGCAGCAATTAATCTGGCTTTCACTCAATGGAAGACAAGGCTGTTTTGCATTAAGTCATGAAAGGTTTGCTTGTTTCACCATCAAGTGTTCACATATATTTCCAAAGGACAACAATACACCCTTTCATGGAGGGCAGAAAGAATACCTATCAAAAGACTGTGGGCCAGGATATCTGCAAAGCCAGACTGCTCTTAAACGCTGGAGGGCAAACAAGAAGACAGAAGGATGTGACAAAGTCACCATGTGCTGTAAAACAGATTCCAGAATTTGCTGGTTGGAAGGAATCTTTAAGGTCAACCAGTCTCCTTCATGCTTCTAGCAAAGCTGCCTATAAAATCTAACAATCTTGAGAAAAAAACGCACATGTCATGCCTGGCTTTTGGCATAAAATATTCTTTTAAATTAAGAAATGCTGGCAATGAAAAACAAATCTCTGCCTTCTAACCCACGAGTTCCTGCCCTTCTCTCCCATCCTCCTTCATCACACTAGTTGTCTCTCCCACCTCAAAGTAGGTTCCTTTAGGGAAGTGACTGATTTTTGCAGCACCCAACATGCTGGCCAGCCCACAGAATGAGTATGGTGAGCGAGACCCCAGTCTACTGAAAAACCGTAGCTTTCCTGCCACCTACTGGCTTCATGATTTGGGACAAGTTACTTAACCTTTCAAAACCAGTTTCCTCACCTGTAAAGCCCTCTCACTAGAGGGTTGTTTGAGGATTAACCGTGTTAATACATGTAGATTACTTGGAAGGCTGACTAGCTTAATAGTAAGGATTTCCTAAGTGTTGACAATTTTTATCATTCAAGTAGTAAATTAATCTATTATTCTATCCCATGAATCACACTCTCCCTGAAACATACTACATTAGAACGTTTCTCTTTTTGTTTTTTTCAAGACAGGGTTTCACTCGTCACCCAGGCTGGAGTGCAGTGGCGCAATCTCAGCTCACTGCAACCTCCACCTCCTGGGTTCAAGCGATTCTCCTGCCTCAGCCTCCCAAGTAGTTAGGACTACGGGCGCATGCCACCGTGCCTGGCTAATTTTTGTATTTTTAGTAGAGATGAGGTTTCACCATGTTTGCCAAGAGGCCAGTCTCAAACTCCTGACTTCAGGTGATCTGCTCGCCTTGGCCTCCCAAAGTTCTGGGATTACAGGCGTGGGATTACCTGCCTGGCCAGGTTTCTCAGTTTCAGCACTACCGATATTACTTTGCTGTGCGAGCCTGTGCTGTGCGAGCCTGTCCTGTGCATGGGAAGGTGTTTAGCAGCATTCTTGGTCTCTACCCACTAGATGCCAGAAGGAACACCCCACCACCACCCCACATTCTGACAACCAAAAATGTCCCCTAGCAAGGAAATCTCCCTATTGTACTAGAATATGCAAATCGGGGATAGAGAGTCTGGTCACCATACCACCTAATTTCCCGCCATCCCATTCTCCCTCCATAGAGACACCCTGGCCACCTCTTGCTCACCACTCAGTTGTCTTGGAGGGAACAAGTGATAGGTGCTGTAGATATCGTTGGAGAACTGCAGCTGGAGCTCAGGGCTGCCTGTCAGGAGCTGAGCCACCTGTTCCACCTGAAATGGCGTCTTCTCCAGGATCACAACGGCATCCTCTCCAGCCCCATCCCCAGAGGCTTCATTCACCTGTGGGCAGAGGCATCATCAGTGGGCTCAAGGGCAGAGCCACCATGAGACTCTGGAGAGCAGAGACAGAAGCTCCCACGGCCTTTGAAATCCTAGTACTTGGGATTTCCTTCTCTGAAGTCTTCCCTCTGGGGAAGTCTAGCCAATGGCACTCACATTTCTTTTCTCATAGAATGCAGCTCTTTTTTTTTTTTTTGAGATGGAGCCTTGCTCTGTCACCCAGGCTGAAGCGCAATGGTGCAATCTCAGCTCACTGCAACCTCCACCCCCTGGATTCAAGCAATTGTACTGCCACAGCCTCCCAAGAAGCTGGGATTACAGGAATGCACCACCAGGCCCAACTAATTTTGCATTTTTAGTAGAGACGGGGTTTCTCCATGTTGGTCAGGCTGGTCTCGAACTCCCGACCTCAGGTGATCCACTCACTTCAGCCTCCCAAAGTGCTGGGATTACAGGTGTGAGCCACCAGACCCAGCTAATTTTTGTATTTTTAGTAGAGATGGGGTTTCACCATGTTGGCCAGGCTGGTCTTGAACTCCCAACCTCAAATGATCTGCACGCCTCCGCCTCCTAAAGTGCTGGGATTACAGGCATGAGCCACTGTGCCCAACCAGAGAAGGCATCTCAACCCAAATCCTTGTGGTGGCTCTCACACTTTTCTTCCCCAAAATGCAAGTCTTCTCAGTTGTCTTCCATTTTAGGCTTACAAGATCTGTCAAGTTCTCCCCATTTCGGAAGAAAAGATGAAAAACTGAGATCTTGAGTGACTTGCCCAAGGTCACATCAACAGTCAGCATTGAAACAGAAACTAGAACCTGGGTCTTGCAAGTGACTCCTAGCTCGAAGGCTCTCATGGCTAACACCTTCAGCAGGTGCTGCACACTGAAGACAGCTGGGCTGAGAAAACCAGACAGAACCTCATATTAAAAAAAAAAAGGCCGGGCATGGTGGCTTACACCTGTAATCCCAGCACTTTGGGAGGCCGAGGTGGGTGGATCATGAGGTCAACAGAGCGAGACCATCCTGGTCAACATGGTGAAACCCCGTCTCTACTAAAAATACAAAAAAAATTAGCTGGGCATGGTGGCGCGTGCCTGTAATCCCAGCTACTCAGGAGGCTGAGGCAGGAGAATTGCTTGAACCCAGGAGGCGGAGGTTTCGGTGAGCCGAGATCGTGCCATTGCACTCTAGCCTGGGTAACAAGAGCGAAATTCTGTCTCAAAAAAAGAAAAAAAGAAGGGAGCCTCAGTGGCTCAGGCCTGTTGTCCTGATGCTTGAGGAGGGGAGGCCACATGTTCAAGGCCAGCCTGGGCAACATAAAAACCTCTCATTAATTAAAAAAAAAAAAAAAAAAAAAAAGCCCCAGCACAGTGTCTCACACCTATAATCCAAGCACTTAGGAAAGCCAAGTCGGGGGAAATCACCTGAAGTCAGCAGTTCGAGACCAGATTAGACGACATGGCGAAACTCTGTCTCTACTAAAAATAAAAAATTAGCCAGGCATGGTGGCAGGTGCCTGTAATCCCAGCCACTCGGGAGGCTGAGCCAGGGAGAATCGCTAGAACCCAGGAGGCAGAGGTTGCAGTGAGCTGAGATCACACCACTGCACTCCAGCCTGGGTGACAAAGAGGAGAGACTCTGTCTCAAAAAAAAAAACAAAACAAAAATAAAAAGACAAACAGAGAGGCATGGAAGCCTAAACCAAGGTTACCTGATCCTCCCAAAGGTGAGAGTTCCTGCTAGTAGTTTTGGAGAACCCCCATATCTGCCCTGGTTGGGCCTCCTTACTAGTTCCTGGAATGGTCTCCATCTCTCCTCAGCCCCTGCCAGACGGCTGAGCATGTTGGTATTGGAGCAAGCTGTGTGTATCTGTCTCGCCAGAAATATTCCTTAGTCCTGAAGATCGGGGATGGTAACTTTCATCTCCACATCCCCAGTACCTAGATGAGGGTCTGGCATGCATGAAAATGCGTGTGTAGAACTGAATTAACAATTATAATATATTGTCTCCTATTAGGGCGGAAGTCGTGTAAGGCAGAGATCACATCTCCTACAGTCTCATGTCGTTTCCAGGGACAGGGATGTGTAAGACATCTAACGTTTACTGGATCCCCAATCCCTGTATACATAAGTGGATGACGATGAATGGCTTGGGAAATGTAACACGTGATCTTTAATCTGCAATACACTCTCCTAGTAGATATTTCTAGTCAAGGAGACACTTAGAAAAATTAGAGCTAGATGTATTCATTGCCTTAATTTCAAGGGCAATCTTGCCGCCTTTTACCGCCCCTCTGTGCATTCTAGTGGCGCATTCCGCCTCCCCCGAGTGATGATTGGTTTTTTCCGGTCGAGATCCGAAAAAAAAAAAAAAATCCGCCTCCGAAGTGATGATTGGCTCACTGGTATCCACATCCCACCCCAGGGATGCCTCCTGGTACCTTTCCGTGTAGGAAAATGATTTTGTCCCGCGCAGACTCCCTCAGCACTTTCTGCAGTCTGAAGCCGGAGAACGGTAAGCGGACAGGAGCACAGGTACCATTTCCAACGTCTGCCTTCTTTTCCTCGGTGCTGGCGGCGTGTGCCTCCTCCAAGTCCAGCTCGCGCTTTCTCTTGCTAGGTTGAGGCTCTGCGTCCGCCATGCTGCCCGGGAGGCGGTGTGCGCCTGCGCGCTTCGCGCTGGCCACGCCCTTCGCTCGAGCCTGGCTGGCTGGCTGCCTGGCTGGGCTGGGACGCCAACTCCCAGTACCCGGCTTGGGGACTTCTCCTGTGGCTGCGGGCCGCGTATGGCGGAGCCTTCTGACCTGTCTTAGGGCGCTCCTTTCAACTAAGTTACTGCCTTTGGCCTGGTTGCGGTGCCGCCCGGCCCTGAGAGAAGGGAAAAGAAGGCTGAGAGTCCCGAAAGCCGCGGGCTAGATGTGCTAGCGCAGGGAATAGGGACCTCCAGGCCCACGCTCGGGAGCTGTAGCCGAAGACCTCCTTGAGCCACGGGAGTGTTGGAGACCTTGTTTTAATGCTGACATTTTAATCATACTTACACCGACGTTGACCAGTTGTCGGGCAAGTAACGTTTCTGACGCAAATCCGTGAGCCCACTTTATAATTTGGTCGCTTTTTTTATACCGAGTATTTAAGCCATTTCCATTTTTCCCCCGTTTTCATTGCTTTACTTTTCATCCTGTTCGGTTTTTTTCTTTGTAGACTCAGCACTTTTCTACTGAAAAGAAAGGAAAACGAACAGGGCCAGAAGAACCATTTCCATCACCCACTTATTTCTGGGGTGGAGGCATACCCCTCCTCTCTATCTAGTTTGCCTGTATTTCTGCCCTTCTTCCCTGGGGATAAGATTCGCGGTATGATTCGTCTCCAAGGGTTTCGTTTCTCTTTTTTTTTTGCCATGTAACATTATTACTGGTAACTTCCGCTGTTGAGAGTTTGCTTGGTGGCCATTGTTTCTAGTTAGCCCTTTTTTCCGTGGTGTTGACAGATCTAAATTTTGTTAAGAGTTCGTACTTAACATCGTTTCAGTCATTTTCAACATTAGCAACAAGGTGCAATTTACGGTCAGCTTTTGTTCAGTAACAAAGTGTACCATGTGTTAGTTTGAATTTTGGATTTTTTCTACCAGAAATATAGATTAGGAGTTGGATAAAAGACATTTGTGTGTGATGCAGAAAGCATTATTAGGGGAGACTTAGGATCTAGAATAATTATCTTCAACAACAACAAAAAAAATTTGTCATCTGTCCACAGGTTTCCTGGATCCATTCCTCAGCTTCTGAGAATATACAAAAAGAGGTTGTAAACTGTATTCAAGACTAGTAAAAAAAAATATCCTGGAGGACAAATGGCAATGACAAAACCTGCTTGACTCCAAGACCCTGATTTTATGAAAATTTCTTGGCTTTTTTTTTTTTTTTTTTGGACTTTTTTTGCCATTAGGAAGGGAATTTCAGTGGAGTAGCTATGTTTTCGCAAAAGGAGCCCAGAATTGAGAGGCATGAAGTCGGGTCCCAACACTGACTAGCTGTGCAACTTTGGAGAAGTCACTTAACCTCTCCAGGTCTCCATTTTCCATGTGCCAGCCACTATCAGTTTTGAGCAAGACAGAGGAAGTCTCCTTTCACAAAATGTATATTCAAATGGGGTATGGGACATAAGCAAGATAATGATTAAGTGCTCTTAATAGAACAAAACTGGACAGTGTGAAGATCCTGGGATAGGAGCCCTCCCTTTTGTTTTTCTTTGAGACGGAGTCTCATTCTGTCACCCAGGCTGGAGTTACAGTGGTGTGATCTTGGCTCACTGCAACCTTTGCCTCCTTGGTTCAAGCGACTCTCCTGCTTCAGCCTCCTGAGTAGCAGGGATTACAGGCATGCACTAGCATGCCTGGCTAATTTTTGCATTTTTATTAGAGACGGGTTTTGCCGTGTTGGCCAGACTGTTCTCAAACTCCTGACCTCAAGTGACTTGCCCACCTCCCAAAGTGCTGGGATTACAGGTGTGAGCCACCATGCCTGGTCAAGCCTTTTAGATAAGATGATCTCGGACCTCTCAAAAGGTGACTGACATTTAAGCTGAGACTTGAATGATGAGAAGGAACCAGCCATATGAAGAGCCCAGGCAGAGTAAATATTAGATTGTCAGAGACCCTAGAGCAGTTATGTGCTTGACATTTTTTAAAAATGAGAATGGGCCGGGTGCAGTGGCTCACACCTGTAATCCCAGCACTTTGGGAGGCTGAGGGGGGTAGATCATGAGGTGAGGAGTTCAAGACCAGCCTAACCAACATGGTGAAACCCCATCTCTACTAAAACATAAAAATTAGCTGGGTGTGGTGGTGTACACCTGTAATCCCAGCTACCTGGGAGTCTGAGGCAGGAGAATCACTTGAACTCAGGAGGTGCAGGTTGCAGTAAGCCAAGATCGCACCACTGCACTTCACCCTAGGTGACAGGGAGCAAGACTCAGTCTCAAAAAAAATAAGAATGACCTGTGTAGCTAAAATATAATGAGCAAACCAGAAGCATTTGAAATGAAATTGTAGAGAAATGTATTCATTATTGGCAAAAATTCATCAATATGGGTATAATTTTGATTAAAATATAAAACCAGAATTCTGCTCTTCAAAAAGCCTGGCTCAAACCCCACCTGGCAACTCACACTTGTAGTCCCAGCTACTCAGGAGGCTGAGGCGGGAGGATCACTTGAGCCCAGGAGTTTGAGGCTGCAGTGAGCTATAATCACACCACTCCGCTCCAGCCTGGGCAACAGAGCAAGGCCTTGTCTCTTAAAAAAAAAAAAAAAATAGTAAGAATGCCCCAGACATGGTGGCTCATGCCTGTAATCCCAGCACTTTGGGAGGTTGAGGAAGGTGGATCACCTAAGGTTGGGAGTTCCAGACCAGCCTGAGCAACATGGAGAAACCCCATCTTTACTAAAAATACAAAAATTAGTCAGGCATGGTGGCACATGCCTGTAATCCAGCTACTTGGGAGGCTGAGGCAGGAGAATCACTTGAACCTGGGAGGCAGAGTTTGTGGTGAGTTGAGATTGCACCATTGCACTCCAGCCTTGGCAACAAGAGCAAAACTCCATGTCAAAAAAAAAAAAAAAAAGCCTGGTTCAAGGAAAAGATGAGCTAATAGGAAGCCTCAGCTACTAGAGTTCCTATTAAATACTAAACCTCAGAGTTTAAGGAATCTTTATGGCAGCACAGTTAAAACTAATTACATTTAAAATTCACTAGCCACTTTGCAAGTGTTTGATAGCCGCTTGTGACTAGTGGCTACCATATCAGCACAGATGTAGAACATTTCATTATCAATGGAACTTCTACTAGACAATGCTATATTAGGGTATGCAATATTATAAAGCCCTATTCAAATTATTTAGTTTTTTAGAAATCTTAAAACTTCTCCCAAGCAAGGTGCAGTGGCTCACACCTGTAATCCCAGCACTTTGGGAGGCCTAGGCGAGTGGATAACTTGAGTTCAAGAGTTTGATACCAGCCTGGCTATCATGGTAAAATCCCATCTCTATTAAAAATACAAAACTTAGCCGAGTATGGTGGCAGGCACCTGTAATTCCAGCTACTCGGGAGGAGAATGGCTTAAACCTGGGAGGCGGAGGTTGCAGTGAGCCAAGATCACGCCACTGCACTTCAACCTGAATAACAGAGCGAGACTCTTGTCTAAAAAAAATAAATCCTCCCAAATCTTTTCTTTATTAGTCTAAAGAAGGACTGGATACTTCCCACTTCCATTTCAGGGATTATGACAGACTAAACTGAAAACAAGTCAGCTACAAAACACCTGAACATTCTGGATGCAAAATTTAAAACATTCTTTTACTTACATTGCTGAGCTCTCAAAAAAGTAAAATTTTCAGGAACCAAAAATGATGTGGGAGTTTGAATCCATAGAGTGGTAAAGGGATTTTTAAGGTGGAAGCTATTTTAAGTGCCATTGCTGATCTCTAGACATCTAGGACATGATTCAAGAGACAAGACCTGAGCTTATGTCAAATGGAATTAGGATACAGAATTTTCCATAGAGCTAGGATCCCTGAAGGTCCACTAGCTCAATAAATGGGTCAACACATTTTTATTTTTTTCTGAGACGGAATCTCGCTCTGTTGCCCAGCACTTTGGGAGGCTGAGGCAGGTGGATCACTTAAGGTCAGGAGTTCAAGACCAGCCTGGTCAACATGGTAAAACCCCGTCTCGACTAAAAAAAAAAAAAAAAAAAAACCAGGCTTGGTGCTGTGAGCTTATAATCCCAGCTACGCAGGAGGCTGAGGCAGAATTGCTTGAACCTGGAAGGAGCCAAGATCACACCACTGTACTTCTGCCTGGTCGACAGATCAAGACTGTCTTGAGGGGAAAAAAAAAAAAACACTCCTCAACTATTTTATGAAGCTGGTATAACCCTGGTAACATAACCAGAAAGGGATAATACAAGATAAGATAATTAAGGGCCAATCCTGTGTATGAACGAAGATGTGAAATTCCTAAAGAATCCTGGATTCACTGGAATCCTGTGATTTTTTTTTTTTTTTTAAGTCATACATCACGGTCAAGTTGAGTTTACAAGGAATATTAAGCTGGCTTAATGCTAGAAAATCTAATGTTATTCACCACATTAACCATTTTAAAAAGGGGGAAAAATGCTATCTCTCAAATAGATGTCAACTATTTGATTAAATTTAAAACCATTCAAGGTAAGTAACTCTTGGCCAACTGAAAAAGCAGGAAATTTCTAACGTGTTAAAATTATGTACCAAGCTGGAGCACGGTAACTCATGCCTGTAATCCCAGCAATTTGGCCAGGGCGGGTAACTCATGCCTGTCATCCCAGCAATTTGGCCAGGGCGGGAGCACCACTTGAGGCCAGGAGTTTAAGACAGCTTGGTCGACATAGCAAAACCTGGTCTTTAAAAAAAAAAAAACTAAAAAAAAGCCAGCCATTAGTACATGTACCTGTTGTCCTAGCTACTTGGAAGGCTGAGGTAGGAGGATTGCTGGAGCCCAGGAATTACAGTGAGCTATGATTGCACCATTGCACCCCAGCTTAGGCAAGAGAATGAGACCCTGTCCCTTGAAAAAATTATGTATCAGAAAACCTACAACACACCTTTAATGGAGAAATGTGTGAAGCAATACCTTTTAAGGAAACAATGAGACAAGGGTGGCTGGTATTGTCACTTTGTTTTTTTGGATACCTTAGGAAGCACAGAAGGAATTAAAGTTTTTGTTTTGTTTTGCAAATTATATGACTGTTTATAGAAAATCCAACAGGCCAGGTGTGGTGATTCACGCCTATAATCTCAGCACTTTGGGAAGCCCAGGTGGGTGGATAGCATGAGCCCAGGAATTCAAGACCAGCCTGGGCAACATGCCAAAACCCCATCTCGACAAAAAGTACAAAAAAATTAGACCAGCATGGGCAACATGGTAGAACCCCATCTCAACAAAAAATATAAAAAAATTAGACCAGCCTGGGCAACATAAAACCCCATCTCTATAAAAAGTACAAAAAAATTAGGAGTGGTGGCACATGCCTGTGGTCCCAGCTACTTGGGGTTAAGATAGAAGAATCATCATTTGGGCCCAGGAGGGCAGTGGTGAGCCATGATCACACCACTGCTCTCCAGCCTGGGCAGCAGAGCAAGACCCTGCAAAGTTTATAGTCTTAGAGGATTAAGTAATTCAGAGCGAGGCGGCCGAGTTGGTTGGTGGCGATGGTCGTGCAGCAGACACAGAGATGCAGATCTTTGTGAAGACCCTCACGGGCAAAACCATCACCCTTGAGGTCGAGCCCAGTGACACCATTGAGAATGTCAAAGCCAAAATTGAAGACAAGGAAGGTATCCCACCTGACCAGCAGCGTCTGATACTTGCCCGCAAACAGCTGGAGGATGGCCGCACTCTCAGACTACAACATCCAGAAAGAGTCCACCCTGCACCTGGTGCTGCGCCTGCGAGGTGGCACTATTGAGCCTTCTCTCTGCCAGCTCGCCCAGAAATACAACTGGGACAAGATGATCTGCCGCAAGTGCTATGCTCGCCTGCACCCCGTGCTGTCAACTGCCACAAGAAGAAGTGTGGCCACACCAACAACCTGTGCCCAAGAAGGTCAAATGAGGCCCTTCCTTCCTCAAAGGGCAGCCTCCTGCCCAGGCCCCTGGAGCCTCAATAAAGTGTCCCTTTTGTTGACTGGAGCAGCAAAAAAACAAAAGTAACTCAGGGCCAGGCGTGGTGGTTCCCACCTGTAATCCCAGCACTTTGGGAGGCCAAGGAGGGTAGACCATGAGGTTGGGAGTTTGAGACTAGCCTGGCCAGCATGGTGAAACCCCGTCTCTACTAAAAATACAAAAATTTGCCAGACATTGTGGCAGGTGCCTGTAATCCCAGCAACTTGGGAAGATGAGGCAAGAGAATCGCTTGAACCCAGGAGGCGGAGGTTGCAGTAAGCCAGTATCGCACCATTGCACTCCAGCCCTGACAACACAGTGAGGCTCTGTCTCAAAAAAAATAATAATTATAATTCAGCATGCTGCTTAATACTAGATCAGTATGTGAAATAAATTAAAATTCATATCAAAAATAAGAATGTAAAATTAGCCTTTATAACACCAACAGAAAATATGAAATGCTAGGGAATAATTCTAATAAAGAGGAGAGTGACCAATGTGGAAAATATAGAAAGCTTTATTGAAATACACTTAAATACATAAGTAAATGGAGACATAACTATTTTTGTGAATAGGAAGACTCATAAAAATATCTGTTCTTTCAAAATCTATAAAATCTATATAAGTCCAATAAAAATACTAACGGGCTTTTTCCTGAAACCTCATGGTTGAATAAACAATTTATATGCCTGGCAAGGTGGCTCACACCTGTAATCCTAGCACTTTGGGAGGCCGAAGCAGGTGGATCACCTGAGGCCAGGAGTTCGAGACCAGCCTGACCAACATAGTAAAACACTGTCTTTACTAAAAATACAAAAAAGTAGCCGGGCATGGTGGCAAATGCCTGTAATCCCAGCTACTTGGGAGACTGAGGCAGGAGAATCACTTGAACCCAGGAGGCAGAGGTTGCAGTGAGCTGAGATGGTGCCAGTGCATTCCAGCCTGGGCAACAAGAGCAAAACTACATCTCAAAAAAAAAAAAAATTATATGAAAGAGTAAAAGAAGAAGAAAAGTCAAAATGATTTTCATGGATAAGAGCAGGAAGGGCTGGGCGCGGTGGCTCACGCCTATAATCCCAGCACTTTGGGAGGCCGAGGTGGGTGGATCCTGAGGTCAAGAGATCGAGACCATCCTGGTCAACAAGGTGAAACCCCGTCTCTACTAAAAATACAAAAATTAGTTGGGCATGGTGGTGTGTGCCTGTAGTCCCAGCTACTCGGGAGGCTCAGGCAGGAGAATTGCTTGAACCCAGAAGGCGGAGGTTGCGGTGAGCCGAGATCGTGCCATTGCACTCCAGTCTGGGTAACAACAGCGAAACTCTGTCTCAAAAAAAAAGAGAGCAGGAAGAATTGTCCTACAAATGGTCAAGGCTTATTAGAAACATCAGTAAGCAAGCCAGTATGGCACCAGCACAGGGATACACAAACAGTTAAGGACAGGAGACTGGAGAACCCAGTAACAGCCCCCCACATAGGACAATATGTGACAGCAGTGACATCATACTTGGTAGGGGGGGTAAGGATGGACTCATAAATGATGGTTATTCTCAAATAAGAAATCTAGGTGGATTAAAGACCTAAATATGAAAAGAAATATAGAAGAAAATACAGATGTATGAGAAGAATTCCTGAGTAAAACACGAAAAACTCAGACTACAAAGTAACAGGTAAAATACTATTTTAGGCCGAGGATGGTGGTTCATACCTGTAATTCCAGCACTTTGGGAGGCTGACGCAGGTGGATCACCTGATTCAAGAGTTCAAGACCAGCCTGGCCAACGTGGTAAAACCCTGTCTCTACTAAAAATGCAAAAAATAGCTGGGTGTGGTGGCACACGGCTGTAATCCCAGCTACTTGGGAGACTTAGGCAGGAGAATCACTTGAACCTGGAAGGCAGAGGTTGCAGTGAGCTAAGATCCTGCCACTGTACTCCAGCCTGGGCAACAAACAGAGCAAGATTCTGTCTCCAAAAAAAATTTTTTTAAGTGAAAAAAACACAACTTCTTCAGTAGATACAATTGTCATACTTTTTTTTTTTTTTTTTTTTTTTGAGACAGAGTCTTGCTCTGTCGCCAGGCGCCAGGCTGGAGTGCAGTGGTGCAATCTTGGCTCACTGCAATCTCTGCCTCCTGGGTTCAAGCAATTCTGCTGCCTCAGCCTCCTGTGTCATACTTTTTTTTTTCCCCCAATACAGTCTTGCTGTGTCATCCAGTGTGGAGAGTGCAGTGGTACAATCACAACACTCACTGCAGCCTTGACCTTCTGGGCTCAAGCAGGATTCCTACCTCAGCCTTCCAAGTAGCCTGGATTACAGGCACATGCCATGACACCTGGTTTATTTTTTTAAAAAATTTTTGGGCTGGGTGTGGTGGCTCATGCCTGTAATCCCAGAATTTTGGGAAGCCAAAGCAATGGATCACTTGAGGTCAGGAGTTCAAGACCAGCCTAGCCAACATGGCAAAACCCCATCTCTACTAAAAATACAAAAAAAACCTAGCCGGGCATGATGGCAGGCACCTGTAATCCCAGCTATTCAGGAGGCTGAGGCAGGAGAATTGCCGGAACCTAGCAGCTGGAGGTTGCATTGAGCCAAGATGGCACCACTGCACTCCAGCCTGGGCGACAGAGTGAGACTCCATCTCAAAAAAAAAAAAAATCGTAAAAATAAATAATTTTGTAGAGATGGAGTTTTACTACATTAGTCTTGAACTCCTGGTCTCAAGTGTTCCTCCTGCCTTGGCCTCCCCAAGTGCTGGGATTTCAGGTGTGAACCACCATGCCTGGCCTATTGTCATACTTTTAAAAACTTAATAATTGGCCAGGCAAGGTGGCTTACATCTATAATCCCAGCACTTTGGGAGGCCGAGGTGGGTGGATCACCCAAGGTCACGAGTTCAAGGCCAGCCTGACCAACATGGTGAAACCTCCCATCTCTATTAAAAATACAAAAAATTAGCCGAGCATGGTGGTGGGTGCCTGTAATCCCAGCTACTTGGGAGGCTGAGGTAGGAGAATCACTTGAACCCGGGAGGCAGAGGTTGCAGTGAGCCAAGATTGCATCCTTGTACTCCACCTGGGGCAACAAGAGCAAAAATTCATCTCAAAAAAACAACGAAACAACAACAACAAAAAACTACAATTTGGAGATGCATACTTAAATGTTTAGGAATAAAATAATTTCGGAGATTTGCTTCAAATGATCTGGGGGAATGAGGGATATGGGTAGAGTATTGCTGATAAAATATTAGCTGACACTTGGTCATTGCTGAAGCCACCTGACGGGCACATAGGGATTCATCAAACTTTCCTTTCAGTATATGCCTAATATATATGTTTTTTTTTTTTTTTTCATAAAAATGATGTAAAGGAAAAAAAATGACAATAGGTTACCAGTTTTCACCCACCAGATTAGCAAGCATTTAAAAATCTGATAATTCTAAGTGTTAGCAAGAACATGAAAAGTGGGAACTCTTAAACACAAATGGTAGGAACATAAATTGGTACAGCCAGTTTGGAAGAAACTTTGGCATCTTCTAGAAAAGCAGTATGTATATTCTTTACTACCCAGCAATATATTTATTACACAACAGGATTTTTTTTTTTTTTTTTTTTTTTTAGTTGGAGTCTTGCTCTGTCACCCAGGCTGGAGTGTAGAGGTTTGATATTTCAGCTCACTGCAACCTCTGCCTCCAAGGTTCAAGTAATTCTCCTGCCTCAGCCTCCCAAGTAGCTGGGATTACAGGTGTACACCACCAAGCCTGGCTAATTTTTATATTTTTAGTAGAGGGTTTCACCATGTTGGCCAGGCTGGTCTCGAACTCCTGACCTCAAGTGATCCACCTGTCTCGGCCTCCCAAAGTGCTGGGATTACAGGCATGAGCCACCACACCTGATCCCAGCAGGATTTTCTAGGCTAAATCCTGGAAATCTTGCACGTGGAAATGTTCAAAAAAGTTCAGAGGCTCATTGGTTTTAATAGCAAAAACCTGGGAACAACAAATAGGCCTTTGAAGAAGAATGTGCGACTAAACAGTGGCATATTTACATCGTGGGATGAAAGTGGATTCTTAATAACTGGTGTGTTATGACTCCGCATGGATAAATCTCAGAAACATTTGGTGAATAAGGAAAGGAATCTGCAGAATACAAACATTGTAATGCTGTTTACATAAAATATAAAACCATGTAAAACTAAATGAAACACCAGTGGGGGTGCATACATATGTAGTAAATGCACAGAGAAAAGCTAAAAGCAAGAAGTTCAAGATTCAAAATACTGGTTATGTCTGGTGGGGTAAGAGGGGACTGCAATTCAGGGCACAAAGGGACCACTGTAGGGATAATAAGGTTTTGCTTCTTAAACTGGGTGGTAGGCACATGAGTGGACATAATTATGTTAGTCCTTTTGTGAATAATAAAATATAATTAAAAATAATTTTTCTAGAACTAGAGATAAAAAAATAAGCTTTTTTCAGCAAAAGAGGGGTCATGATAGGGAGAAGTGAGAGAGGGGGCACAAAAGTACCCAATGAGGGAAATAATGAAATTCATTTCAGTTCAACAACAAACTTACTGAGAACGGATGAATGAAACCTTGCCCATCCTATAAGGAACACAGTCATCTGTCAGAAGAAAAATGTTGATTCCTCCCAGTCCAAAGGTGAAGATGGTGACTGTGAAAGTATCAGCTTTAGCCAGACCCCTGATGAAGCTCACAGATGTCAGAGCATCCATGGGCTTGTGATCTCAGGTGAAGGTGTTGAGCCCTGGCCTCCCATCTCTTCACTTGTTTTCTCCACCCCGCCATCCCCATATTCAAAATGGCTTCTAGATTTCTGTCTTTAAAGGCACTTAGGCAATAAATAAAAAGTACGGTTCAGTGCTTACTGCATCTTTCCCACAGCTTTCTGAAGTGAATCAATGTCTCTGGGAAGAGGAAGAGTAGTGTGAGTATGAAGGACTAGATTCCTGTTGCTTTCTCCTGATGCCCATGCCAGGGTTTCCCCAGGCAACTGGGAAGATCATCCGTGGTGAGGCCTAAAATCTAGGCTTCTTGCTGATCAGTCACTCTTTTGGAGCAATACCAGTGTACGCCAGTGCCCAGTACCAGGACACTGGATATCAAGAGTGTGCCAGGCTTCCCATCCAGTTAGTCAGGAGGCAAGCCCTGCTGACCATCACTGATCAGCACCACCTCCTTCCACCTTCAATTTCTGGCTTCCTCATGGCCTTCTTGGGGAGTCCCCAGCTTCCTCATGGCTTTCCTTGGGGGAGTCCCCAGCTTCACGGCCTTCCTGGGGGAGTCCCCAATGTCTCCCTGGTCTTCTTAGTAATGGAAGCCTGATGGGTGCTCTGATCCCAGGGTCAGGGGCCGACTGCTGCAGACTCGCTCCCTATACATCTTGTCACATCTATGGGAATCCGAGGCCCTGGATGGGTTTTCTGTTTCCAGCTTTACTCCAGTTTCCGGGGTACCATGATATAAAGGTGTCAACTGAGTGTCTGCAGATCTGAAAGAGACCAGTCACAGGTTTGTCACCCTTCCCAAACCCAGCATCTCTGTTTTTCCCCAATAGGTCCTGCCTCTTCTAACTTTTTATCTATTACCAGACTTCCAAAATCTACTGCAATAGCATACCCCCCCCACCCGCCCCGCAAAACACTTAAATGCACTTCTTTCCTATTATTCTGCATCGTTTTGCCTTACTAAACCAGTGCCCCTCCTGGCACCTTCCCAGCTCTTGGTGGACATCTCAAACCTGATCTCAGAGAAACCTAATGCTATTACTGTTACTACTACTAGCTAATACTTACTGAGGACCTCGTATGTGCTAGGCTCTGCCTGTCATGAATACATATGTTAGGCTATGTTCTGAACCCTTAGTTTATATACTGTTCTCATTTCATAGCAATGGAAACCTGGAGGTCAGTGAGGAAACCAAGGCATGGGGGGTAAGTAACTTGCCCAGGTTACTTTTTATGGGTTAATAATAAGTGCAGGACCCAGGATACAAACCCAGACAGCCTTTTCCAGAGGCTGCACTTTGAACTACAGGCTACAGGGCTGTCTCCTAAAAGCCAAAGTAGATCAGATACTGTGGCTGAATCCCATTCCCCTTCTCCCTCCTGTAGTAGCTTACAACGCATGATAGCTTCTTTGACTTGGTGAAAGCCACCATCAGGGCCCCTGCCATCCACGTAATACATGAATCGGAGCTCAGGTGGGTAGGCAGCTCTGCTGAGGCCTGACAGCAGAGGGATGGTTCGGCCCTCGGCCCCCGGGGCATCGGACAGGGCCTGCAGCATCTGGTACTTGCACCAGGGGTCCTGAAGGAAGCCTGGGGTGATGAGCAGCACGCGGCAGTGACTACTACTCAGTGCCTGGCACAGTTCGGACACGATGGCGCCACCTGGGGTTGCATCCCGGAGCTGTAGGAAGCAGCGCAGGCTGGCAGTGCTGCCTTCCAGGTAGGAGACCAGGTTCTGGGCGGCCACCAGGTCTTCTTCACTGTGGCACACGCAGACGTCATAGTCTTTGCTCCAGCGAATACTGCCGCTGTCACTTGCTTGCGAGGGTGGCAGGCTGGGAGATGTGACTGAGCTGTGGCTTGGGGGTACGGAGCTATCCTGTGAGGTAGGCTGTGAAGCATCACTGGGTGCACTTTCTGAGGAGTCGGGCATCTTCTTGGGCTTCTTCAGCAGGGTCTGCCTGAACCAGTCTGTGGGGGAGAAACACTGCTCAGGCCTGTGTCTTCTTACCAGGTGCCGTCTCACTGCCCACACAGGGAGGAGCCGCACCTCGCAGGGAGGATAGACAGACTGCAGCTCACCTCCCTGCACTGGGAAACATCTTATTCTCAGATACCTGTTGCTCGGCTATTTTTGTATATCCTTTGGGACTTGCCTAAAAGTGCCCTCTAAAAGTAAAGGTTTTGGACGCACGTCAGAACTTTGGAATCCTTGTGTGGGAGTGTTCCACCAGCCTGGTTAAGAGAATTGGCTTTGTACTGCTTCCGGGCCCTTTGATACCTGGTACTCTCAGCCCACCTCAAGCAGAACTTCCCACTAGAGCTGACTAGTCAACCACCCGGGAGTCTGCAGGTACAGCTATGTTACACTAGCAAAGATATTATCAGTCCCAAAGCCCACTTCTAGCACTGAGGGGAGGTGAATTTAGATTAGGAAGGGCTACCTGTATGGGAAGGAAGGGGCACGAAGGATTGGCATCTGTTTGGCCCCAAGAAATCCTAGATTCTCGCTAAATGGGGAAGAGGCTACTGCTCAGAGCTGCTGAGGAGCAGAGAGCTTCGCGATTCAGAACCCACACTCTGGAGTCAGGAACATGGCTTTGACCGTGGACCTGTGGCTCACTTTCTGTATGGCCTTCAGCAAATTAGATGTGCTCATTTGTATAATGGGTTTGCTGAAAGTTAACTGAGATAATGCAGTGTTGGGTATGTTGTAGGGACTCCATAAGGAGATGAAAACTCAGCTTCCCCAGCCTCTGATAAGGACAGATAGTTGTGGTAGGGATTGATTCATTTTCTCTCTCTGCTTGGCTTCTTCCTCTAAATGGTTCTGGGACAAAGATTTAGACGATGAGACACACAGTGTTAAGCACTCAGCACAATGGCTTCCAGGCTAGGAGAGTTAGCTGAGCAGGTCTGGAAAACCTTTGAGCCAAAAGGATAAAGATCTGGCTGAGCGGAGGCAGGCCTCCCCTCCTCACTCTCCACAAAGCACCCAGGCCCTGAAGTCAAGTCAGGAGATCCCCTCAGCCTTCCTGCGTCTTTCTGAGTTTGGACCAGGCAGGCCTCCCACCTCGCCCATGGAGACTGAGTGCTCCACTCAGGAACACAGCAGTCTCGAGTCCGGTTCCACTCACCAGCCATCTTGCCTAGAGGCTTCTTAGGCCGCGAGCCAGGAGCTGGGAGGGAGGGCGATGATGCCATAGTGTGGGGCTCACAACTAGCCCCCTGAGACCAGGCATTGGTAAAGGGGGAGGAGGGAGGAAACCCAGTCTTGACCTCATGGAGCCGCCATCCTACAGAGGGCAGAAAGAAAGCATCACAAAGGCTGCACTTACCCTGCTCTCATTCCCCGGGGATGAGCTCTGGGAACTTCTATTTCTCTCCTAGTGCCTGAATAGAGGCTTCCTCTCTAAATGGGTCCTTCATTCCTCGTGAGATGAGGGACAGACACGACTGTGATTGGAGCTGGATTCTAGATAAAGCCGGAGCCATGTAGTGTGGTCAGACTTACAGGGTATGAGCTCAGCATGACCAGCTGAGGGACTGTTCTCTGCTCCACCTGGCCTGGAGGATATTTGGGATCTGGGCAAGGGCAGCTGGCAGGCAGCTCTTTAGAAGGGCTTCCTGTGTAAGGCCTGAAATGGCAGAAGAAGGAAAGTTGCTATTTGGACAAATAATTATGTATCCAGATAGACAGAAGCTGAACAGTAGAGAGAGAGAACATGCAGGAAATCTTGGGAGACTTTTCCTCCAAGTCTGCCTCCCCCTGAATAACTCCATCCATAGACCCATTGCTCCTGCAGCCCTCAGCTCAGGAAGGTCATGTCACAAAGTAGTGAAGACTGCAGACTCTACAGCAGAGTGCCTGATCCTCACCTCTTTTTAACCGTGGCCTCTGGCCATCTTGCAAAGTTACAGTTTCTCCATCCATGAAATAGAAATACTAGAGCCTCCTTCTCAGCATTATTGTGAACATTGAATGAAATAATTTATGTAAAGTCCTAATGGTGCCTAGCATGTAATAAATGCTCAGAAAATGTGGGCTCCTATGTGTATAAAATAATCTAGATATTGGAGGGATATGTTATGTTCATGGTTTATAAGACTTGATATTGTAAGGTTAATGTTCCCCAAACTGATCATTCAGTGCTGTTCCAAAGTCTAGAAGATTTTTGTTTTTTAGGCTTTTTGGTAGGGAGGTTGTCAGACTGCTTCTAAATTTATATGGACATACAAAGGCCCAAGAATCCCTTAGAAAGGCAACCTGCCATGTTCTCTTCCCACCATAGTGACAGAGGATGTCCCTGATGGTGGACACGCTTTCAGCCTCAAGTTTCTATGAAGCAGAGCCTGTGGGGGCTGTAGTATTCTAGTGACACTTCTCTCGGGAAAGGCTGGCAGAGCAATTGGCACAGGGCTGCTTTCTCACTCTTTGGTGGACCTGTGAGATCAAAACAAACCTGAGAACTCACGGAAACAAGTATTATTAGACACACTGAAGCTGGGCGCAGTGGCTCACGCCTGTAATCCCAGCACTTTGGGAGGCTGAGGCGGGTGGATCACGAGGTCAAGAGATCGAGACCATCCTGGTCAACAAGGTGAAACCCCGTCTCTACTAAAAATACAAAAAATTAGCTGGGCATGGTGGCGCGTGCCTGTAATCCCAGCTACTCAGGAGGCTGAGGCAGGAAAATTGCTTGAACCCAGGAGGCGGAGGTTGTGGTGAGCCAAGATCGCGCCATTGCACTCCAGTCTAGGTAACAACAGTGAAACTCTGTCTCAAAAAAAAAAAAAAAAAAAAAAAAGACACACTGAAATAAAGGTTTCAAAATTTAAAGAATGTGGCTGGGCATAGTGACTCATGCCTGTAATCCCAGCACTTTGGGAGGCCGAGGTGGTAGATCACCTGAGGTCAGGAGTTCAAGCCCAGCCTGGCCAACATGGCATAATGCTGTCTCTACTAAAAACAAAAACATTGGCTGGGCCTGGTGGCGGGTGCCTATAATCCCAGCTACTCAGGAGGCTGAGGCAGGAGAATCTCTTGAACCTGGAGGCAGAGGATGCAGTGAGCTGAGATTGCACAACTGCACTCCAGTCTGGGCAACAAGAACAAAACTCTGTCTCAAAAAATATATATAAAGAATGTCATTCTATGCTGCACGTTAATGCTTTGTTCACTGATGCTAAACACCAGTATGCCAACCTGATGAGTAGAAGACCAGGGATGCTAAGGATTTGTGAACAGGTATCAAAGTTCAAAAAAGAAGTAGAACTTAACCCATAGCAGCAAAGGAGGCACAACAAAGAGTTGGAATGGGCACAGGAACCAGAGAAGACATTTGAACAAGCAACACAACTAAATGTGAAGCCACCAGAAAGATAGGGGAAGTTGACTCTGAGTATGTATATGAGTTTCTTTTCTTTTCTAATATGCTTGGGATTTCAGACAGCCTAAGTGGGAGGCTGCAGCTAGAACACAGCTAGTGTTGTGTTTGAAATCCTCTTCCTGGTCAGGCATTGCTGTCTCCCTACATCTTCATTTCAGCCATTCAAGATGCCTTTTTGGGCTGGGCGTGGTGGCTCACGCCTGTAATCCCAGCACTTTGGGAGGCCAAGGCGAGCAGATCACAAGGTCAGGAGTTTGAGACCAGCCTGACCAACATGGTGAAACATACAAAACATCTATGAAAAATACAAAATTTTGCCGAGCGTAGTGGTACGCGCCTGTAATCCCAGCTACTCAGGAGGCTGAGGCAGGAGAATCCTTTGAACCCGGGAGGCGGAGGTTGCACCCCAGCCTGGGCGACAGAGCAAGACTCCATCTCAAAAAAAAAAAAAGATGCCTTTCTGCCCTCTAGTAGTAAACATAATGTCACTTGGTTTTGAATTATTTAAATATTTTTTCAATTTTGTTGTAATTTTAATATTCATTATTTTGTCATGGTACACTTATAAACTAGAGCATATTTTGATTTTTAAATATTCTAAAGGTTAAAAATTAATATGTTAATGTACTTACTATATGTAGACTTAAAAGTTTTAGTTTCTCATTTTATGAAATGACTTGCCCCTTTGACAACACATGCTGATTTGGGGAACTTGCTTTTCCATTGCTTGGTTAAGAAGAACAGTTGTCCAGCAGTATATGCCACTAAAGTGGGGTGGTATAAGCCCTCATGAGAAACATTATGGAAACGTTTAAAGAGAAAAATAACAGCACCTTTGACAGGATAATTGAGCAAGATGGCAGGTAAATTCCAGTAACCGTACACACTGCATGCTCCCTGGAATCCAAGATGCCATGCCCTTTCCTTGTTCCTTTTCAGTTCTTTTATAACTGGGGCTGTGGAACTGTCACATATTCAAACACCTGTTAATTGTTCCAAGAGTTGGTAACTGTCATCATATCTTGAGATGTGGTTGACAAGCAGGTAAGGTAATGAACCCAAGTCTTCAACTGGAAGCTCTACTCACTAGCTCTGCCTATTCTCTGATTTGCTGTGTGGTCACTTTTTTTGTGCTTTGAAAAAATTCATAAAGTAGAATCATACCAAAAATACCCACTTTGTAAGAACAAAGACTTGAGAGAAAATTAGTGAAGAGGCCGGGTGTGGTGGCTCACGCCTGTAATCTCAGCACTTTGGGAGACTGAGGTGGGCAGATCACTTGAGCTCAGGAGTTCCAGAGCAGTCTGGCCAATATGTCAAAACCCTGTTTCTACTAAAAATATGAAAATTAGCCAGGGGTGGTGGTGCTCGCCTGTAATCCCAGCACTATGGGAGGCTGAGGCAGGCAGATTAATTGAGGTTAGGAGTTCAAGACCAGCCTGGCCGACACATCAAAACCCCATCTCTACTAAAAGTACAAAAATTAGCCAGGTGTGGTGTTGCACACCTGTAATCCTAGCTACTCAGGTGGCTAAGCCAGGAGAATCCCTTGAACCTGGGACATCATGGCACTGCACTCCAGCCTGGGTGACAGAGTGAGACTTGATTTCAAAAATATAAAATTAGTAAAGAATTTCTTCAGAAAAGCAGTAGCATAATACCTTTAGTGCTTTCTAGAATGTTTTTCCAATATTATATGCAGAAATTCACGTAAAGGAAATATTACGGAGTTTTGCTGTATAAAATCCAAAGTGGGCCTGGTGCAATGGCTCACACCTATAATCCCAGCACTTTGGGAGGCTGAGGTGGGTGGATCACAAGATCAGGAGTTTGAGACCTGCCTGGCCAACATGGTGAAACCCTGTCTGTACTAAAAACACAAAAATTAGCTAGGTTTGGTGGTGCACACCTGTAATCCCAGCTCCTTGGGAGGCTGAAGCAGGAGAATCGCTTGAATCCAGGAGATGGAGATTGCAGTGAACCTACATCGTGCCATTGCACTCCAGCCTGGAAGACAGGGCAAGACTCAGTCTAAAAAAAAAAAGTCCAAAGTGTATATAAAATCCAATATCAAACTGGTCTCCAATTTCTATTATATAGGAAATGTACTGAAGCCCATGAGGCATATGATTAGAATATGTTAGAGTTCCTATTTGATTTCTGTTAAGCAGGACTCATTATCTGTGATAGAATAGCGGCCCCCAGAGGCCCACATCCTAATTCCTGGAACTGAGAATATGTTACTTCCATGACAAAGGGGGATTTTGTAGTGGTGATTAAGTTAAGGACCTTGAGATGGGGAGGTATTCCTGGATTACCCAGGTGAGCCAAATGTAACCAAAAAGAGCCTTTCAAGAGGGAGGCAGGAAGGTCTGAGGCAGACAAAGGAGCTGTGCCAAGGGAAGCAGGGGTCAGTGGGGTGCAGGTGGCCTACAGAAGCTGGAAAAAGCACATCCATCCGTTCTTCCCTGGAGCCTCCAGAAGGAATGCGGCCTTACTGATCCATCTGAGAACGGTAGGATAATCCATGTGTGTTGTTTGAGGCCACTAAGTTTGTGGCAATGTGTTAGCAGGAGTAAGAAACTACTACACTATCTCTGGTCAGATCAGGCCGAGGAATGGAGAAGATACTGGATTTCATTTGAGTGCTAAAAACTGGTCCGTTTAAAGGTTTAAATTGTTTGCAACAGTTTTTACATCTTTAAATAAATTACCATCTACAGTTCACCTGACTTTGACTTTATATTTAAAAGAATTTTGGTTTCAAAGCCTGTTTTGTTCAAAGAAATTTGGTTCCAAAGCCTGGTTTGCAGGACAATGTCATTTAAAGTGCTGAATATAATTCATTTATAGCTTGATAGACAATGCAGCGTTCTCAAACTATGTAGACTATGGTGCAGACCTAGGGTGGCCTGCTGTGTTCACACCTGGGACTGTGGGAAGGACCCATAACATTCTTTTTTTTTTCAGACAGACTCTCACTCCATTACCCAGGCAGGAGTGCAGTGGCATGATCTCAGTTCACTGCAACCTCTGCCTCCCAGGTTCAAGTGATTCTTGTGCCTCAGCCTCGAGTAGCTGGGACTACAGGCGCTTGCCACCACACCCAGCTGATTTTTGTATTTTTAGTAGAGACCGGGTTTCACCATGTTGGCCAGGCTGCTCTGGAACTCATGATCTCAAGTGATTGGCCTGCCTCAACCTCCCAAAGTGCTGGGATTACATACAGGCATGAGCCACCACACCCAATCTTTTTTTTTTGAACCAGTGTCTTGCTCTGTCACCAGGCTGGAGTGCAGTGGTGTGATTACAGCGCACTGCAGCCTCGACCTCCTGGGCTCAAGCAGTCCTTCCATCTTGACCTCGAGTAGCTGGGACTACAGACGTGAGCCACCACACCTAATTTCGTTGTTGTTGTTGGTAGAGACAGGATCTTGCTTTGTTGGCCAGGCTGGTCTCTAACTGTTGGCCTCAAGTGATCCACTCACCTCAGCCTCCCAAAGTGCTGGGATTACAGGCGTGAGCCACTGTGCCCGACTTTATTTTTACTTTTATCTGAGTCTTCTTGCTAGGGAAGATTTTTTTTAAAAAATCAGACTCAAATAATACAACTATAAGGGGAAAAATGATAAAAAGCATTAAAATAAACAACTTCTGTTCATCAAAAGACATAAATAGGAGAGTGAAAGGCAATCTCCTGAGGGAGAAAATGTTTAAAAATATACATCCAATAAATGTCTTATATCACAAACATTTCAAGGACTCAATGGAACTAGTAAGAAAAAGACAATTAGAAAAATGAGTAGAAGAATTGAACAGGCACTTCACAAAAAGAATATTCAAATGAGCAACAGATATAAAAACAGTTCATTAGTCATCAGAGAAATGCAAACTAACACCTCAGTGCATCACTGCTGGGCACTCAGCCAAATGGCTACAGTGAAAAAGACTATCAAGTAGTGGGAAGAATATGCAGGAATGGGAACCTGCGCACTGCTGGTGGGCATGTAAACTGTACAATTACTTCAGAGAACTGTTTGACACCATAGACTAAAAATGAACATACATCAGCAATTTCAGTCCTAGGAATACACTCAAACAGCAGTGCTTACAGATTTTTTTTTTTTTAATGTAGTCCCACTCTGTTGCCCAAGTTGGAGTGCAATGGCGTAATCTCGGCTCACTGCCAACATCCAACTCCCAGGTTCAAGTGATTCTCTGGCCTCAGCCTCTCAAGTAGCTGGGACTATCGGTGACCACCATGCCCAGCTAAGTTTTGTATTTTTAGTAGAGATGGGGTTTCACCATGTTGGCCAGGCTGGTCTGCCCACCCCAGCCTCCCAAAGTGCTGGGATTACAGGCGTGAGCCACTGCACCCGGCCTGCTTACAGCTGTTTACCAAAATATGTACAGGAACCTGTCTGTAGCAGCAAGATACAAAATGACCCCATGGTAGGAACTGTCCATCAACCCGTGTCCAGTAGAATGGATAAACAAATTGTGGTCTAGCCATACAGTGGAATGTTAACACACCAACAAGAATAAATTACTGCTAACAAAACATGAGTGAATATCACACAACATATTGAGTGTAAGATGTCAGACACATACGAGTATAGATGTATGATTCTGTGGATGGTAAATCCAAAACAGGCAAACCTATTTTATGGTGTTGGAAGCCAGGAATGTGTAGTCATGTTTTATTTATTGCTCTGAATCAGGAAATGTTCATGTTATGGAAAACGGTTGAGCTGTACACTTATGATTTATGCGCTTACATATCACCTCCTTTAAGTCTAAAAAATAACTAGACGTGGTTCCCTCTGAGTCATTCCTGACCTGGAGTCCCCTAAGTTTTGTGTTTCAACGGGAGTTCCCCGCACTCCCCCTCTCGGTCGCACTTCTAGGATGTGCTGTGATTCTAATGGACCTGTCTCCCTGGGGACCAGAGGACTGGCTCCGTCTGGTCCACCGCGGTCACCCTAGTCGTTGGCACAGTGGCTGCCCAGCCTGTAGTAGCTGCCTGTTAAATGACTGTGGTGTAATGCCTCAATAGGTCCCTAACCCCAACTAGTTAGGCACTTGCTGAATCACTGCCACAATGACAAGCCGAAGAGTAGAGGCAGAGGCTGTGACCGGAGCAGAGAAGAATGTGAGCACAAACAGTATCCACCAAGCACTGACCGCCAGGCTCTTCCAGCGAGGCAAGCCAAAGGGGAGCCGCCCGCGCGAGCTTCTTTGCGACAGAAAAGGTGACAGCCTCCTCGGAGGGCCCTTTCACGCCGCTTGCGTGTTGCGGGTGCCAGAAAGGTGAAGGAGAAGGGAAGCGGACGTGCGGCCGGCCGGGCAAGGCCAGGCTGGAGGCGGCGCGGACCCCTGCGGTTCTCGGTGGGCCCGGGACTCCTGGGCCTAAGCCAGCCGCGCGCCGCCCTGCCCGCCCCACAGAGCCCCGCCGCGCCTCCCGGTCCCCCGAGACCCCGCCCGGGCTCACCTGCGCGCGGGCCCAGTCGCGATGCGGGCTGCGCGGGCTCCGCGGGGAAGAGCTGCGAGCAGGCCCAGCTCCCCGGAAGCGCCGCGCACCGCCGGCCGCGCCGCCCCTCCCACGCCGCCCGGGCCACTCCTGACCCGGGAGGCGCTCGGGCAAGATCCGGCTGCGGGAGACGCGGGACTGGGCAGCCCCGGTGTCCCCCGCAGCCCGAGCCCCGGCCAGCTTGGCTTCTGCGTGATTCCGGGAGCCTGTCCTCTCTGCGAACTGGGTGGGGGCGGTCCGCAGCTACTCCGGGAGGAGCCTGTGCCCAGGGTTCCCCGGCGCCCACCCTGACAACCTGAAGGCTGTGTTTTGTTCTAAGCGCGGGAGAAGGAAAAAAAAAAAAAAAAAAAAAAAAAAAAACATATTACAAACGTTTAATTATCCTAACACCCTGTCGGGCTGGGGGTGCTTATGCCTTTTTTCTTTTATACAATTGAGAAACATGAAGCCCGAAGAGTTGGAATGACTTTTCCAGAGGTCACACACAGCGAGGGGTGCACAGTGCTGCAATGCAGGAGGGGCAGACCCGGGGGCGGCAGCTGGGAAGCCAGGCCGCTGTGGCCGCCAGCTCCTGGCCCAGACACTGGTTGATGCGGATGAGGATGGAAGCCCTGTCTCAGGCCAAAGTGCTTTCTTTGCTCCTCTAGGCAGTGAGCCCACATGGGCGTTATGAACAGCGCCGCGGGACGCTGCAGAGCCGCTGCAGACAGCGTGGTGTAGGCAAGATGCTGTGAAGTCCTGCGTGGAAGAGATGGAGATGCGTTCGCCTCCCACTTCTTAGAGCTCTTAAGATGTTGGTGAGCGCTGTGAAGCACCTACTGGAGAAGGGAACAGGGAGCATTCCCCACAATTGTTTCACTCTACGAGAAATGTGAATGTCTTCCTGGGCTTCTTGCTCCCGGGCATGCCAGTTTGGGAAACACTATCCTAAAACGCGTTTGAAATGCTGGAGAGTGGAGGTAGTTAAATTAGGCCATCTAAGATTCATGATCTCCCCTCCAATCCGATTTCCTCCTTTTCTCACCAGCCCGCCAAATCGGATGAGCTGCCTGTCCTGGGAGGGCTCTGGAGTCAACTGCCTGGGTTCACAACCAGCGCTCATCACTTACTAGTTGTGTGGCCTTGGTGAAGTCACCAGACCTTTCTAGCCTTGCTTTCCTCATCAAATTATGGTGTCTGCTTGCTGGTCTTCTTGCAAAGATTAGATGAGTCTACATAAAGTAGATCAGATACCTGGCCCTCCACCCAAGTGCCCAGTTTGCTTTGACTCTACCAAGTACACCTCCAACCAGGGCCTTCCATTTGCCCAACTCTGCTCTGCAAAAAGCTCTCCTTCTAGCAAGGCCTATTTTGTTGTTGTTGTTGTTTGTTTCCATTTCCTTTTTTTTCACATCACGCTGGTAAGCCAACGCATGACACAGTTTAAGGGAGGCACGTTTCACGCATGTACGTGAGCACCCAGTCATCATGCTTATGAACTACAAAGGGATCAAGGCCCATTTTTGCCTTATTCAGGAAAGCTTTGCCTCCCCCAGCCCTGCCCACCTCCTTCCCTCAACGGCTACAGTGCTTTTCATTGTAAATAGTCTGTGCTCTGGCTGCTTAGCTCCCACTTTAGACTAAAAGTTCCTCAGAGCCAGGGATGGTTCTTCAGGCTCTAGCTGGAGCAGAGGGACACTTGAGGGACACTCAGATAAACAGGCCTTGACTGTGCCAAGTAGGGGCCAAGCGTTGGGACAGGTGGGTATCAGACAGGGATGAAGAAGGCTTGGTCCTGGCTCTGCACAGTTCAGTGGGGAAGACAGATGCACGGAGGCAGTGGTGAGGGCTTGCCCACTGCTTGAAGTAGAGCCCTGTGGGAGGACAGGGAGTCCTCAGCGCTTCTTAATAAACATAGTACTTGCTGTCTGGAAGGGAGCAGCTTCTGGGCGAGGAACACTTGAAAGCCTTTTCCCTTTCTCCCTGGGATTGGGATGTCTGTGCTGAAGGGAGGGGCAGCTACTGCCTGGCACCTAGGGGAACCTCACAGGATCAACCCGGATGTTGGCTTGTCCCTCCCCCATATCCCTGGCTAGTTCCTTCCTGTCTTTCATCACTGCCTTCTTCCTCTTCTGCCTTCTGCCTGGCCCCTCACCCCAACCACAGGGGCACATCTCCTCCCCTGCCATTAGTAAGGCCCACCTCCAACATTTCTTCCCTCCCTTTCATCCTTCCCCACAAAGGCCTCCTTAGCTTCCATGACACTACTCTCCTGGCTTTTCTCCCGTCTCTGTGGGCACCTCTTCAGCGTCCTCTTCTTTGGTTTGTCTCTTAAATGCCAGTGGGGTCCCTTCGGCTTCCCTCCTTGGCCCCCTACTCCACCCTCCGGGGTGATGCCATGCTGTTCCATGATGTCCACATCTCTATCTACAGCACACATCATCTCCCAAGGACCATGCCCATCAGCCCAAACCCCCGTTTGAGGGATGCCCTTACAGGTACCCCTCATTCATCGCATCCCAGACTGCACCATTCACTGTTCCTCACTCTGCTCCTCCCTGGTGCTCCTCATCTCTGGGAGGGGCAGTACCTCCATCCAGAAACCTAGCCATCTGATTTGCCCCACTTGTTACTGGCATCACTCTGGGATCCATCTGATTCTTGCCGTGATGGTTCAGGTACCCAGTGTCTCTGCCATGTGGCCTGCTTGCCGCCTGCCTTGACATCCTCATCTGCTCTCTACAAGGTCATCCAGGTAACTCTTCTCAAAGGAAAATCTGATCCTGTTGCTCCCGTTTAAAACCCCTCAGTGGCTCCCTGCCCACAGGATAAAAATCCAAGCTCCTGGCCGGGCATAGTGGCTCATGCCTGTAATCCAAGCACTTTGGAGGCCAAGGTGGGTGGATCACCTGAGGTTGGGAGTTCAAGACCAGCCTGACCAACATGGTGAAACCTCGTCTTTAAAAATAAAAACAAACAAATAAATAAATAAATAAAATCCAAGCTCCTTCGTGTGGCTTGCCAGGCTCTGGTTCCTCTTCTTGTACTCCATGATCCAGGCGGAAAGTCACATGGAATCCTGCTGCGGTCTGAATGTCGCTGTCCTCCCTAACACCCAATGTGATAGTGTTAAGAGGTGGGGCTTTTGGGGAAGTGATTAAGTCATGAAAACTCTGTCCTCCTGAAAGGAAATGTCCTTGGAAGAGGTTGAAAGAAGCTGGCTTACTCTTTCTGCCATGTGAGGATGCAGTGAGAAAGCACCATCTTTGAAGCAGACAGCAGGCTTTTACTAGATATTGAATCTGCTGGTGACTCGATCTTAGATTTCCCAGCTTCTAGAACTGTGAGCAATGTATTTCTATTGTGTATAATCTTATTCTTGCTTCTGGGCCTTTACATATGGTGTGCCCTCAGCCTGGATCCTTTCCTGGCCATCTTGCATTCACTTCACTAAATGCCCATCCTTTAGGTTCAGCTGAGGTCAATTTCCCTGGAGGAGCTTCATGGAGAAACACCCTTGCCACCCTCCTACTCCCACCCTGGGTGAGGTGTCTGTGTCGTGTGCTTATGCCAGCACTGTGGGGGTTACACTGTATCTGATCTAGGGGTGAGGGGCTAGGAGGGGCAGGACATAGCTATGAAAGTTCCAGCAAAGACACAACTACGTTCTGCTTGCTGGTGTATCTCAACATGTAGACCCTTAGCCTGGCCAACAGTTGGGCTGAATAAATGTTGGTAGAATAGATAGACAAAACCATCCCTCTTCTTTACTACCAAACTCCCTGCAGGACCTCAGGAATAGGGAGCACTTGCTTACAAGCAAGATGCCTACCACCTGGGATCTAAGAAAGCTCCTGGACTCTGTCCACCATCTTGGAGCCTGTGGAGGCTTGCTGGGAACAAGAAGGCTGTGGTCCAAGGCCAGTTTTGTGGCCGTAAGTGGGGTTTCCAGAACCAAAGGGGGCACACAGCTCTTCTTAAAATTGAGTGTTTATGCCTGCGATGAAACGGAATTCTATTTGGGCAAGAGATGTGCTCATGTATTCAAAGCAAAGAACCACACAGCGACTCCTGGTGGCACACCAAAACAAAACCAGAGTAGTCTGGGGAGAAGTCACTTGGCTTCATGGAAACAGTGGCATGGTTTATGTCAAATTCCCAATCTCCCTGCTGAGACCACAGACACAGAATGTGTGATACTGTACCCCTTAATAATTTGAACTAATGAAAGGTGGACTTGTGCCTTTTTTTTTTAAAAAAGCTTTTTTTCAAGAGTTCTCAGAAAAAAAAGCTCCTTGTCTGGTGTAAGGCTAGTGGGGTACTTCAAAAGCTGCTGCTGTATGATGAAAAGAAGAGACAGAATACTGGAGAGAAGGAGTTACTCACGTGTATTGATTGATGGATAGGGTAAACAGACAACCAATAAACCTGAGCCAGTCTGCCCTGGAACACTCCCCTGCCAGGGCTTTGTCTGCTGAGGGTCAGAGGCAGTGTTTTGTGGTGAGTGCCAGGATGGAGCCAGTCCTGGGCCAGGGTGCCCAAGCCTCCAGCTGGATTTCCCTGGTGGATGACACCAGCATGGGCTACAGATCAGTCCTAGGATCCTGCTCATCACTCGCTGTTGGCCTGGGCCTCAGTGCCTGTGCCTGCCCAGCCATGTAGGTGCAGTGGCCTGCCTGAGAGGAGAGTGGGGAAAGGGAGAAGGCCCAGCACAGTGCTGGGGAAGACTGGAACAGAAATAGAAGAAAGAAGGCTGTGAACACGGCCAGGATGCAAGCCAGTGGGGCCGGTGCAGAGCGTACATGCTCAGATGATGTTGTCCTCCTGGATCTTCTCTCCTAAGTAAAAGCGGCTGAAGAGGAAGGAGTCCAGGTTGATGGTCTGGAAGCGGCCCTCCAGTATCATCTCTGCCACAGCTCGTCCCACACCAGGGGCCTGCTGGAGCCCATGACCACTGAAGCCAGTAGCAAAGAACATGTTGACAACTAGTGGATGGGGGCCCACCACACCATTCTGGTCAAAGGTGTTGTAGTCGTAATAGCCGGCCCAGGCGTTCTGAACCTGTACGTGCACAAAATGCTGGGTCCTCAGGAAGGCTGCAGCCACGCTCCATCCGGTCATCAGGGGTCAGCACAAAGTACCCTCTACCCACTGCTGAGGGGTCCATGGGATGGGATGGGTCCCACAGATTCTTTAGCAACTGTGACGTGGAGGGATTAAGGCAGTGGACAGGTCCAAGGGGACCAACATGCTCCACTGTCACCTGTCCCATCCAATGTCCAAAAATAAAAAGGAACACCAGCCCCTGCCAGTTACCTTCAGAGTCTCAAAAGCTGGGACCCTCTGAGCCAAATGGGGCCACACCTTGTCCTGGAAGAAATCATGGTCCACTTCCAGGTTCTCTGGGTCTGGTTCTTCCTCCTGGGGTGAGAGGTGGGGACAAGGCTTACATTGCCTAAGACACGGCAGACCCAAACTTGTTTAACAATCCCTGTGTAGGTAGGGGATGGGGAGAAACGGTCCCAGTTCAAATCCGAGGGGGCCGCAACATCAATTAACATAGCACACAGCCTCCAAAAAAGCCTGATTTGTTTTTGAGACGGTGTTTCACTCATCGCCCAGGCTGGAGTACAATGGCGTGATCTTGGCTCACTGCAACCTCCACTTCCTGGGTTCAGGTGATTCTCCTGCCTCAGCCTTGAGTAGCTGGGATTATAGGTACGCACTGGCACTGCCACCAGGCCCAGCTAATTTTTATATTTTTAGGAGACAGGGTTTTGCCATGTTGGCCAGGCTGGTCTCAAACTCCTGACCTCAGGTGATCCACCCACCTTGGCCTCCCAAAGTGCTAAGATTACAGGCATGAGCCACCACATCTGGCCAAAAGCCTGAGTCTTTTGTGACAGTTATTTGATGTCTCCTTGCCAGCATGTCCCACCCCACTCAGCTTACCTCAGTGGGGCTACGGCCACCTAGGTAGTTGCTACCTAATCCTTCCCGGCGGAAATAGGTTCCACTAGTGTCTGCAACCAACGGACTCTCCAGGCCTGGTCCCTGGGGGCAGTGCCACACATACACATACCTGCCACAACCAGTGTGGTTATGAACTGCAAAAACAGCATGGCTAGCAACCCTCCCCAACCTTGTATACACACACACACACACACACACACACGCACACACAGCTAACAACCCTCCCCAACCCCATACACACACGCGCATGCACACACTTATCTGACTTTGATGTCATTTTTCTTTATCTCACCAAACTCCTCAGCTGCCCAGAGGGCAGTTACCTTTTCCTCGGCTCCACAGGTAGCTTGGTGCCCTGCAGGGTGTCAGGCGGCCCCTTCCCAATACCAGCCAGTGCTGCAATTTGCGCAGACCAGGCTCCGGCTGCATTGATCACTAAGGCGCATTCCACAGGCTGGTATTCCACGCTGTTGTCCATCTTCACCTGCAGGCACCAGTGGGTGAGGGGTGGGAAGGCCTGGACCACATACCAGGCACCCTGAGAGGCGCACTGCTTCCTGAGCCTTAGTTTACTCAGACTGGAAAGTGGGTCAAAGACCAAAACAAGGAGAGTCACTACCTTTCCCGTCCCTCCATTTTGATAAGGACATCACCAGACTAGAGACTTACGTGGACTTCATAGATCCTTTTCAATTTCACCTCTTTCTGATTTTTGGTCAACATGCGGTCAGATGAAGAGACAAAACCTGCAGAGAAGAAAATGAAAAATAGGCCTTGGAGGCCCCGAAGAGGAAGGAAATGGGGATTTCACTGGTTTCTTAAGGAAAGAAAGCTGGAGGATGGGAGCTTTCCCACAGACACTGAAGCGAACAGAGATGAAGGAACTAGCATGAGCTTGGCCATACTCTGATAGGACAGTGCTGAGGTGAAATCATCAAGCAGATCACAAGTCATAACACCGCTCAGTGAGGAGCTTGGGTCAGGATGCCTAGGATCTGCCCTCAGGGTAGACCCCTTTCCCTCTCCAGCTCTTGCTTAGCCTGTGAGTAAGAAGAGAAGACCTAGTTGAGGCTTATGCCCCAGTCGCTAGAGGAAACAAGCTCAGACTCACGTGTCACCTCTCCCTGGCAGAAAAGGACTCCCATGGACTGGACCTTTCGCCGAAGCCCCTGGAGCAGACACCAGGGGTCAAACCAACCTTCGTCCTCCATACCTGTGATAAGAAAAAGAGAACTCACAAAGAGGGATGAAGACTCCTGCTCTCTGATTGTATTTCCTGTGCCCCCAACCCCTCTCTAGGGCTTGTAAGCCGGGGAAGGTCATCTTGACCAACTGAACCACAGAGACAAAGCCTGCTGAAGGACAGAGAACTGGCACGGCCCAGGGCAGTCCCCATGACACAAGAGGGAAGTCTTCTTCCTTCAGCTTGGCTGTGGGGCACTGAGACTCCCAACCTGTAGCACCCCTTAGTCTCTGTCTTCAGGAAAAAAGCTGTCCCCTCTGCAAGCAAGTCTCACCATAAGATGCCAAAGCCACTCCCTCTGTGTTTATCCAGGGAAACTTGTTCCGAAGCTGATCAGGAGACATCAGACAAACTTTGGCTCCCTCCTGCCTGAGATAAATGTGTGGGTCGGTGTATGTGTATAGAGAGTGGAGTGTGCAGACGGGTGAAGTATTAACCCCAGCTCCACAAGTGGGGAGTCCAGCTCACTCATGCCACTTCTCTAACCCAAACGCCCCTATTTTTCCTCATTGCTGAGTGGCTGAAGACCAAGCCTCCTAGTCAGGCTCTTTAGCTTATGATTATCTTTCCTTCCCTATGCCCTCTTCATCTCCCTGTCTCCCTTCAGCACACAGAGCTCCCCGCAGCCTGGTTTATTTCATGACTCTTTTTTTTTTTTAATTGAGTGTGGCTCTGTTGCCCAGGCTGGCGTGCAGTGGTGCCATCTTGGTTCATTGCAACCTCTTCCTTCCAGGTTCAAGTGATTCTCCTACCTCAGCCTCCTGAGTAGCTGGGATTACAGGCACGC